CCCCCCCCCCCCCCCCCCCAACAACAAAAACCACCACCACTGTTTCTGTTGTATTATTACCCATCATGCCATTCTTCACATGCATAATAGAAGTTTTGAACTTTTTGGATGCTTTCTTGGTAACTATGTTTTTGAACTTTTCTTCACAATCACAACCTTTCTGCAATACGGAAAGAGCCCAAATTCTGTGCTTTACATACTAAATAGAATATTATCTTGAAACTGCAATTGTGGTTTCTTCTGGGTTTTTTTTACTCTCTCTCTCTCTCTACTCTCTTGTGATTCTTGTATTATCGTATATTTATATTAAATCACCATGAGAAAATGAGAATTGTTTTGAACTTCTATTTTGTACCTTTTCGTTTTAACAGCTCTTTTTTTTGTTTGACGACTTTTCAACAATGAGGAAACACCTAGATTGTAACCTATTACAGTGTCTTTCAACTACAAACTCCAACTGGAGATATTCCTCGTTTTGATCTCTCTTTATCTCTCTCTCTCTGTCTGCTTCACCCCTTTCCCCTCTACTCTCTGTCATACTACACATTGAGAAAAATGGGGAGAGCGACAAGGTGGCTGAAGGGTTTGTTTGGGATAAAGAGAGAAAAAGAACAAAAGGAGAACACAAATCCAAATGACGGGAAAGAGAAGAAACTGTGGGTTTTGGGTCATTCTGGGAGAGACTGTGATGGGTTATGTCAGAATCCATCAACTATACCACCAAACATAACTGCTTCAGAGGCAGCTTGGCTGAAATCTTTCTACAGTGAGAATGAGAAGGAGCAGAACAAGCATGCCATTGCGGTGGCTGCTGCAACCGCTGCAGCTGCAGACGCTGCCGTTGCGGCTGCAAAGGCAGCCGTGGCGGTGGTTAGGCTCACTAGTCAAGGCAGAGGCACCATGTTTGGTGGTGAAAAGTGGGCTGCGGTCAAGATCCAGACTGTCTTCCGAGGATTCTTGGTAAGCAAAAACTGATGATTGTTTAATCAACTAATTATATGGTTTAAGTATGAAATACCTAAGAGGTATATTTGTTATCGTACTAAAGTTATTGAAAAATAAAGTTATAATAAAATGGACTCCTCTTTTATAATAGATCCTAACATTTAGTATCGATTATAATTTTTTTTGAGCTGCACTTGTAAATTTTAATACAGTACCTTTTCTAATACTGTAGTTTTAGCCGAATATTGTTGTTTAGATTGATATTTGGTTGTTTTTTGTTTTGGTTAATGTCCTTTTTGCTTTTGTTTTAAAGTAATTGCTTGTTCAGTATGAGAATGTTTTGCCTTTTGAATTGTGAAAAATAGGCAAGAAAAGCACTTAGGGCTCTAAAAGGGCTGGTGAAGCTACAAGCTCTTGTTAGAGGGTATTTGGTACGAAAACAAGCAACTGCAACACTTCATAGCATGCAAGCTTTAATAAGAGCACAAGCCAGTGTCCGTGCCCAAAGAACTCGTGGGATCATTCAGAATGATGAGAATTTTCAGCCCCAATTTCGAGCCCGAAAATCCGTCGTAAGGCCCAATTTTCAAATTCTTGTTACTATAGATTCGAATCTTGTTGAAGAGCAATTGTAATTGTTGATTTGCAGGAAAAGTTTGAGGATACAAGAAGTGAACACACAATGTCAAGTCACAGCCGAAGGCTCTCTGCATCATTTGAGACAGCTATAAATGCAATTGATGAGAGCCCAAAGATTGTGGAGGTGGATACAGGCAGGCCCAAATCAAGATCCAGAAGAAGCAGTACATGGGTGTCAGATTCCGGCTATGACCCATATGGCCAAACACTCTCCTCCCCATTCCCAAGTCGATTTCCGGCACGTTTATCAATACCCGACTGCCGGAACTGCCATGACTCCGGCTGGGGCCTAATTGGCGACGAATGCCGGTTCTCCACAGCCCAAAGCACCCCTAGGTTTGCCAATTCTTGTGGGTCTAATGACCCAGTCACACCAGCAAAGAGTGTTTGTGTTGATAGTTTTTTCAGGCAATATGCAAACTACCCAAATTACATGGCAAATACGAAATCATTCAAAGCTAAGTTGAGGTCTCAAAGTGCTCCTAAGCAAAGGCCTGAGCCAGGGCCCAAGAAGAGGCTATCACTCAATGAAATGATGGACTCAAGGAACAGCCTAAGTGGGGTTAGAATGCAAAAGTCATGCTCACAAGTTCAAGAAGTCATTAATTTTAAGAATGCTGTGATGGGTAAGCTTGAAAGATCTACATATTTTGTTAGAGATCAGACGACAGAGAGACTGTCATATGGAAGGGAAATGGTGAGAGATTGAAGACAATGAAAAAGACAGTAGACAGAGAGAGAGATGGCTACCACTGCTTTTAACATTGTGTAACCCCACAGGCGTAGATGGTGATAGAACAGAGCAGAATGTGTCTAAAGTAACAGGCAATATTTCATTTAAAATAGCATTGCATAAGTTATAAGGTATTATCTGGTAATGAATCAACTTTTATTAATGCTTTGCATATCATTTGATGTTTTTGGTTTGGACTAATTATTGTTATTGGGTAAGATTATTTAATTTTGACATAAACGTAATGGGTTTAAGTTATGAAAATTATCTTTCATCGCATGAGAATAAGATTCGAATACTCCAACTTTTAAGGGTGGTTTAGTGGTCAAGCTTGCCTTCTTGCAACTAGTCTCAGATTCGATACTTTTCTCATCTCCTAAGTATCAGCCATCTTTGTTCATCAAATGACATGTTCTTACACTAGCTTGAGTTATGGTGGTCAGCTCAGAGTTTGAGGAAATAGTCGACACAAACCTGAACACTCTGTAGTAAAAAAAAATCAAAATAATGCTACATAACTCAAATATAACCAAAAAAGTTGTAATTCAAATACATAGCATCCCTTAGATAATTAAGTTTCATCAGTTGTTTTAATGGGATCCACTCATCTAATAAATAATATATATTTAAGTGTAATTTTTTAAATTATATTTGAATTTTGTAGCATTTTTTATAAGATTCAGACATACTCAATTTGATTTTTTTAACGGGACCGGGAGTGTTTCGACTCGTTTGGGATCCAAAATATTTGTTAGTACATTATCTTATCCTTTTGCCACCCCGACAATCTCAAACAAAGAGATAAAAACCATGAGAGGTTGATTTAACATTGAGATTGGGCCAGCTTGCTTCATATACCGAGTGTTTGTGCTATTCAATGTTGTATTCTGTGGGCTTTGGCTGTTGAGTGATTAGTCTCATTTTAAGGGCATCTCAAACTCATTATATAAAACTCCAAAATAACTAAATTTAACTAATCTAAAATAAAAATTATATTTATAAAAAATTTTGTTCAGATGTTCTAACACAATTTTTTATTACAGTAATACTCTAAATATAGAGTATTACCGTAATAATTTGTATAAATAATTTATAATTTTATCTCTCTCCTCGTGTCTTTTTTCACCTCTTCAATCTNTATGTTAAGATGTTCTAACACAATTTTTTATTACAGTAATACTCTAAATATAGAGTATCACCGTAAAAATTTGTATAAATAATTTATAATTTTATCTCTCTCCTTGTGTCTTTTTTCACCTCTTCAATCTATTATTTGTCTTTTCCCTCATTTCTCAACAANTTTGTTCAGATGTTCTAACACAATTTTTTATTACAGTAATACTCTAAATATAGAGTATTACCGTAATAATTTGTATAAATAATTTATAATTTTATCTCTCTCCTCGTGTCTTTTTTCACCTCTTCAATCTATTATTTGTCTTTTCCCTCATTTCTCAACAAAAGTACAAAATTATGATAAATAATCTATATTTATCTATACTGCTAATAAAAGTACTTTAACATGAAAAATTTTTAATTCACTATTTTACCATTATAAAAAATTATAAATGTTAACTTGTCATTTTGTATTTAAATATTTAAGTTACCATTATATCCCTTTCTACTAATAAAAATACATGAAAAAATTTTGATTCACTATTTTATCCTTATAAAAAACTATAAATACTAACATATCTTTTTGTATTTAAATATTTAAATTATCATTATATCCCTTTGAATTTTAATAACAAACTAATATCTAATAAATCAAGCAAATTTCTCTATCTTTACAAAAGTTTTGAATGGTCATGTTATACTTTAACATGATATATAAATATTATTTTTTTCTAAAGCCCTAATATTAATACATATTGACAACTCTATTGATACAATATCATCTCCAGTACCTAAAAATGGCTATATTTATCTTATCTTTTCATTCACAATCAAAATAATTTGGTGAAAATTTACTGATGCAAAAAGTAAAAACAAGAAAGACAAAAAGAAAAAAAAAATTGAGAAAAAAATATATAAACCTTATTATTTGGTAACTCGAATGAAAGAATCACGAAAAATGAGTTCATTGGATGTTTATAGTTATGAAAATAATACAAATAATTTAAGTATGATAAATATGATATAATATTTAATATAGCTACATAATTAGATTTTTTTATATATTTTACTAAATATTTCAATGAAAATTTTTACATGCAACACACGTTGTGCATTACTAGTATTTAAAAAAAAATAGTTAAAATATAGAAAATATTTTGGAGTGTATTAAAATTTTGAGTATCTAAAATAGAGAATATTACTTTTTAAGTAGCTATATTAGCTTTTATTGTTGGAGATACTTTAAAATGTTTGTTTTATGTTATAGTTTTGTCACTTTGTAGTGTAAGATCAATATAGTTGGGTTTACTCTTTTTTAGCTAGTTTAATATTTTTTAGCTAAATGAAGCTTTTCTCTCTCACGCACACACACANTGGATAAGCCAATCAAGGTGGACATTAAAACAACAACTACTGAGAGGGGAAAATTTGCTAAAGTGTGTATGGAGAGAGATCTTAGCAAACCTCTAATTTCGCAATACAAGTTGACTTCAAGAATTTTCAGAGTTGAATATGAGTGTCTGCACACCATTTTCTTTGGATGCGGAAAGGTAGTACATATGGAAGCCTACTATCCTCATAGTAAAGGCAAAATTCTTTCGATGGTTACTAGAAACCTTAGCTCGATCGGAGAGGACAACCAAAGGTCAAGAGACGTCACAGATGTTAACTCTCAATGGTCACAAGTAAACTCAGATTCAACCCAAGTTAGATATAATGAATTGAGGCCCTAAGCGGAATTTGGGCCTTGGTTGATAGCCTAATCCAGAAGGAAACGTCAATAGGGTTTTAGGAACCAAACAATGCAAAAAGGAGTGGGCCACACCAACAGATTTCTGGCCTTACAGAAGCAGCCCGTTAAAGAAGTTCAACCCCAGGGTAAGGGAATTATCAAGAGTGGTCCAACCAAAAAGTCTGCTAACTCGAATCCAAAGAAAGGATCACAGATGAATGAAAAGAAAAACTGGGCTCAAACATTGGAGTAGGAGCTGAACCGACCCTCTTTCCAAGATTTTTGAGGTAATGTTCTCTGACAGCTCTATTTCATTGCAGAAATTGAAGAGCCATAATGGTGCTTTGGAAGCAGGTTCAAATCCAATGGACCTAGAGGCATCCAGGTACAATAATGGAGAGTTAGGGCAGCAAGAATCAATCGTCATCTCTTACCAGCATTTTAACATAAACCATCCCTCCCCCCTCCCTTCTCAACCTTTATTCTAACCAAAAGACCCTTTGAGTATACCATATCCAGACCTAGTCAACCCAAAACCACCAGACCTAGGTGACAGTAGGAAAGATAGGAGGAATGGAAAGCTCCCCATTGAAGATGCTGCATCTTCACGACAGTATTATAGGTCTTCTCTTTCGTTTGGAGAAGGAGAGCAAATGGATTGATCTAGTTCATTGGTCTATACAATCAACAATACTAGTGGTGGANGTTGCATCTTCACGACAGTATTATAGGTCTTCTCTTTCGTTTGGAGGAGGAGAGCAAATGGATTGATCTAGTTCATTGGTCTATACAATCAACAATACTAGTGGTGGAACCTTGCACCCTCAAATAAGCACTGACTTAGACTATCGCAGTCTCGCTAAGACCAACACTCCCGACAGAGGAATACAGGGAAACAGCTATTCGGAAACTTGACCTTGAGAGTTTTATGCCTTTTCCACAGTGTTTAATGATGTCTGCAATGAAAATACTAATCTGGAATTGTAGGGGTGTTGGGAATGATGGATTTAGAAGGGTGTTCAATGATCTTTTCATGGCTCATAAACTTGATGTTGTTGTACTTCTAGAGATTAAGATTTAGAGTAGCCACATGGGAAATTTTTTGGTCTGTATGGTCTAACGACATCTGAGAAAATGGAACCAATAGGAAGAAGTAGGGGTATTTGGCTTTTATGGGACTCATCTAACATTTCTATTAGTATCGGAGGGTCTACTAATCAAGTTATACATGCAAATATTGTAAGAAAGGATATGGACGAATGGTTGTTCTCTGCCGTTTATGGGAGTCCAAATTCAAGCTATGGAGACCAGCTATGGGATGAGCTCAGCATTATAAGGGACAACTACAACAACTCTTGGATGGTAGCAGAAGACTTCAATGATTTTGCCATCCATTCTGAGAGAAGAGGAAGAAAAGTTGATCACACAAGAAGAATTAAAAAATTTAAAGATAGAGTTAATCATTGTGGTCTTATTGATCTTGTTTGCAACAGTCCCAAACTCACATGGAATAACAAAAGGAAAAGGCTTGCGAATACGAAAATCAAACTTGATAGGGCATTGGCGAACTCAGAATGAACCGTACAGTTCCCGGAGGCTGGAGTGAGGAACCTTCCTAGAACATACTTAGACCATTGTCCAATGTTGATCTAGATGCAATGTATGTCTCTTTTCCCTTATGCTGTCAAACCCTTTAGATTTAAGGCAATGTGGGCTAGTCACCTTGAATTTAAGGAAGTGGTAGTTAAAACCTGGAGAATTAATAATAACTCACTCATGAAGGCCATAGATGACTTCGAAAACATTGCCAAAGAATGGAATAGAGATACTTTTGGGAACCTATTTAGAAGGAAAAGAAGAATTTTAGCAAGATCAGAGGGTATTCAAAAAGCCCAGGACCTTCATTATTCTCATAATCTAACTAGACTTGAGGAAGACCTCCAACAGAATTACAAACAAATTTTAGAACAAGCAGACGTCTTATGGTTTCAGAAATCCAAATCTAAATGGATTACCTGTGGAGACAGAAACACTAATTTTTTTCATATCTCCACCATTTCAAGAAGAAGAAAAAGTAGACCTCATATCCTTAAAAATCTCGAAGGTATTTGGCTGACTAACCCTGTAGATATTACCAATGTTATACAAGAGTTTTTCTCTAATCTGTTTTAGGTCTGAAGGCCCGGAGTCAATTTGCCAAAGGGATTTCTATTTTCAAAATAAATTGAGCAATGAAGCGAAGAATGTACTGGAAACCCCCCTTTCTAATGATGAGATTAAACACGTTTTTAGCATGAAACAAGCAAAGCTAAGGCCTATCTCCAAGGGGTTGGAGCTTGTTCAAAGGAGGAAAATCACACAGATCGTAGAGGAAACCTATTCGCTTGAAGCAACCAAACTTCTGTCCATGGAACCGAAGGATACTCACCCGAACAGAGGCATTATTTCATACTGTAGAAGGCTTATGGAGCTGAACCACATCCCCATTATCCACATCAATGTGTTGGTTTTCTGGCGAACATGGGTGTCCAATAGCTGGATCCTTTTGTCGAGCTTGATGATCTTCCTCCACAATTAGCGAAGAATGTGTTGGCTAACCTGACTAGTGTAGCCTTTTCTAGGAACTCTATTTAGATTTTCTTTTGTTTTAACTTTCCGATGTACCCAAAAAAAATGTAATTTAGCCTTCACCATTGGGCCATGTATCCTAAATATTTTCATAATAAGATTAATGTTGTTTGGATCTAGAAATTTGACTTAATTTATTGATTTACTGATGTGGCTTCAGTAAAATCATTGAATTAACACCAAATTTCAATATTTGATGAGGTCCACAGTTAATTCAAAAACCATAATTAATTACGTTTGCAAATTAAATAATGAAATTAGATCTCAATAGCATTACACTTCTTATAAACTCAATCTAGTATTGTCCTAAGAGCACCTAGGAGGAAATAAAAAAAGAGGCCGACTATATGCAGATAATAAAGGACCATAAAGACTGCATTACCTGGGATGCCTATGCCCATAACAAATTGCGGAGCCGCCCATTGATAGTAACTGAGGTTGATTACATTAATCTTATCTTGTCATTGTGTTCTATCGACAACTATTATTTGTATGAACCTCCCTCAAATTTCTGTTATTTAATATATTTAGAGCTTTTTATACTTGTATAATGTTTTATAGGTGCACAAGACAACATTTATGTTTTTGAACTCAAGATTGTATTATAATTTGATCCATTCAGAGCCATCAATGAAGCTAAGTGAAATAAAAGGCTTAGCTTCCTCATCAGTAAGTTCTCTTGACCATGACACTCTTCCTGCAAAGCTTGCCCCAGTCCCAGTGCACTTATATTGTCCATAAAACACAGTCCTGCACAAAATAAGAAGACAACTCTGTCAAATACAAAGCCTATCTGCAAGCTGCTGTGTCCTAATTACTTTTATGATTCTTACAACTACTATCTTCTCCTCGATTAGTTGAGTGTGCGTAGGTATATCTATATAATACCCAGTTAGCGAATGAGGCCTAATCCAACGGACGCTAAGTAGGATTTTTTGTACTTAAATCTGAGAGCGGGTCTCAATGCAGAGTTAAAGTTGATTTAATATAATATTATCATCATAAGTTCAAGTCACGAAAATATATTTTCGCCCTGATGGGTTATATCTAAACCATCCGAGACCACACAGTAAAGGGATTCCCGTGCTAGTTTTTTTTTTTTGAGGTGAGATACAAGTAGATTACATTACACAACAAGAGTATATACCCATGCAGGGTTGAGTTTCCAACCACCACTTTGGGTATCAGATACCAAAAATGCCCTCTCTCTCTCTCTCTATGTAATGACCAATGAAACATCAAAATACTGTATAAGTGGGTATTAGCCTCAATTGTATTAGATATATATATATATTGATGGGACTTTTCTGAAATACCCTATGATGAAGACACGTGTCATCGGTATTACTAAAATACTGTTGCTAAGATCAAGCACCATCGGCGCACAAAGGTCCTCGCCCCCGAGGTACTCGTCATATAGGAGCATGCATTTCAGTATGTTTTACAACCGACACGTGGTCTCGGTCTGATATGGTACCTCGGTCGGTATCCCCTCCCTCGATTCTGAGATCAGCCTCTCCTCGGTGCCGAGGTGTACCATCCTAGACGCCTCCTCTACTCCAGGATAAGCTATTGACGTACAGGTCATTAGCCTAGGCTATTCATCATGACCTCGTCTTACACAATTAGTGTCAGAACGTACTGGAATGCAGGGGCCACAGCCAATGAGGGATGGACGCGTGGCATATGATATCACATCGAAGACAGAGAAACCGCATGCCGTTGCTGACACGCGACTTGGGAAAGCAAACGATTAATTACACCATTCCCTTGATGAGACCGCATTCAATGCGGTAAGGCTCGGAAATGAAAGGCAATAAATGCTCCTAATACAGAGCATTTATTGCATCCTCTCCGAGAGGAGTACATTGCACCGTTGGCATCCCGATTACCCAGCATTGATTGCTCGGGACCCCGAGCAGTTAAGAAGAGAAGACATTCCTCATCAGAATCAGTGCGCACACTGCCTGTACCTAATGATCACCTACTGACTACACTGACAGCAATCATGAGCTTTTGAGGTATAAATACTCCTTGCAAAAGGCAAGACGGGTATGCAACAAAAAACTCTTTACGACAATACTCACTCAGTGTTTTCTCCTTCCTCTCCCTTTCTAAAAGACTGACTAGATCGTCGGAGGGGATACGCCGGAAAACACTCCGGCGCCCTTCTAACTTGTTCTTCTTTGTTCCAGGAACCTCTTTCAGCCTTACTGGATCGTTCTTCCGCTCCCCCAGGGTCTCCCGTTGCCGTTCCAGGTTACCACCGGACCTCGCAGGCTGTTCCAAGCAGCGTGGTTGGTCACTCAACTGGCTCACTNTTTGGTCACTCAACCGTCTCACTCGAGTTCACCAAGGGAGAGATCTGTTCTCATTTTTTATATTGTGCAGGATCTTGCACGCACAATCTGGCGCCGTCTGTGGGAAACGACTAGTTTTCCTAGTTTTTTCTCTATAAAGAACAGTGACCATGGTGAACACTCGACAGAAAGGGAAAGGCCCCCACCAAAGGAGTCTCGAGTTACAAGCTCCCTGTCATCACGGAGGNGAAACAAGCAAAGCTAAGGCCTATCTCCAAGGGGTTGGAGCTTGTTCAAAGGAGGAAAATCACACAGATCGTAGAGGAAACCTATTCGCTTGAAGCAACCAAACTTCTGTCCATGGAACCGAAGGATACTCACCCGAACAGAGGCATTATTTCATACTGTAGAAGGCTTATGGAGCTGAACCACATCCCCATTATCCACATCAATGTGTTGGTTTTCTGGCGAACATGGGTGTCCAATAGCTGGATCCTTTTGTCGAGCTTGATGATCTTCCTCCACAATTAGCGAAGAATGTGTTGGCTAACCTGACTAGTGTAGCCTTTTCTAGGAACTCTATTTAGATTTTCTTTTGTTTTAACTTTCCGATGTACCCAAAAAAAATGTAATTTAGCCTTCACCATTGGGCCATGTATCCTAAATATTTTCATAATAAGATTAATGTTGTTTGGATCTAGAAATTTGACTTAATTTATTGATTTACTGATGTGGCTTCAGTAAAATCATTGAATTAACACCAAATTTCAATATTTGATGAGGTCCACAGTTAATTCAAAAACCATAATTAATTACGTTTGCAAATTAAATAATGAAATTAGATCTCAATAGCATTACACTTCTTATAAACTCAATCTAGTATTGTCCTAAGAGCACCTAGGAGGAAATAAAAAAAGAGGCCGACTATATGCAGATAATAAAGGACCATAAAGACTGCATTACCTGGGATGCCCATGCCCATAACAAATTGCGGAGCCGCCCATTGATAGTAACTGAGGTTGATTACATTAATCTTATCTTGTCATTGTGTTCTATCGACAACTATTATTTGTATGAACCTCCCTCAAATTTCTGTTATTTAATATATTTAGAGCTTTTTATACTTGTATAATGTTTTATAGGTGCACAAGACAACATTTATGTTTTTGAACTCAGGATTGTATTATAATTTGATCCATTCAGAGCCATCAATGAAGCTAAGTGAAATAAAAGGCTTAGCTTCCTCATCAGTAAGTTCTCTTGACCATGACACTCTTCCTGCAAAGCTTGCCCCAGTCCCAGTGCACTTATATTGTCCATAAAACACAGTCCTGCACAAAATAAGAAGACAACTCTGTCAAATACAAAGCCTATCTGCAAGCTGCTGTGTCCTAATTACTTTTATGATTCTTACAACTACTATCTTCTCCTCGATTAGTTGAGTGTGCGTAGGTATATCTATATAATACCCAGTTAGCGAATGAGGCCTAATCCAACGGACGCTAAGTAGGATTTTTTGTACTTAAATCTGAGAGCGGGTCTCAATGCAGAGTTAAAGTTGATTTAATATAATATTATCATCATAAGTTCAAGTCACGAAAATATATTTTCGCCCTGATGGGTTACATCTAAACTATCCGAGACCACACAGTAAAGGGATTCTCGTGCTAGTTTTTTTTTTTTGAGGTGAGATACAAGTAGATTACATTACACAACAAGAGTATATACCCATGCAGGCTTGAGTTTCCAACCACCACTTTGGCTATCAGATACCAAAAATGCCCCCTCTCTCTCTCTCTCTCTCTCTCTCTCTCTCTATGTAATGACCAATGAAACATCAAAATACTGTATAAGTGGGTATTAGCCTCAATTGTATTAGATATATATATATATAAACCAACCAGATAGAGATTATGCAGCTAGCACTACTCCTAAAAAGGTAATCCATATGGATATAGGATAACATTTATTATACACAATAATATGCAATAGAATATAGGATATGGTATCGAAAAGTTTATACCAAAAAACAAATTTAAGTCCTAATTTCCACGTGTCATATAGGGATTGAACGAAAAAGATGTATGATACCATAGTCTAACCTAGATGTTTATATATGTGTATATATCTGCCCATATAAAAGGGTTTGCAGATGGGGGACGGCACCGTCCAATGCCCATTACAGAAGGTAATGCATAATCAACTTTTTGGTATCTGTGTGTGTGTGTGTGAGAGAGAGAGAGAGAGAGAGGGACTTACATTTCTCGGTTAGGGTCACCCCAATTGTACCAGCCTTTTGGGATGATAATGTTGTCCATATATGTATAGGCAAAGACTACCCTAGAGAAGGGACCCCATGCCCTCCCTAGGTACAGTGCCCCTGACCCCGTGACCTTACAGTTGAGAAATGAGAAGCCAGTGTCTTCTAAGAGGCTACTCCTTCCCTGTGCTGTAAGTGCCNAAAAAATTTGTCGTGCCGCGGTTCAAAACTTATGACGGCGCGGTCCGATCCCGAAGCCCATGTCAGGCAATACAAGCAGATGATGTCCCTCTATCATTCAGACCAACGGTTTCTCTGTCGAGTGTTTCCTATGAGCTTGGGGGACTCTGCGATGAAGTGGTTTGAGGCG